TCTCTCTCCCTCGCTCTCTCTCTCTCTCTCCCTCGCTCTCTCTCTCTCCCTCTCTCTCATCCGCCTCACAACTTTGCCCCCTCTCTATCTCTCCCTCCCCCCACTCTCTCTATCTCTCTCTATCTCTCTCTCTCTCTCTCTCTTTCTCTCTCTCTCTCTCTCTCTCTCTCTCTCTCTCTCTCTCTCATGTTATGTGGGTGAGTCCCTCCTAACTCACACAGCGTCACGACACACAAACATAGCAGGGACCACACAACTAAAAACTGAGTACAAATATAACTTGAGGCCACGTTTGGATTTTTTTGAGGGACTTAATCGAGGTTTTCTTCTCCTGGTCACGTTTGTTTCGTTTAGCTTTTTTCCCCTAATACTGTTTGCTTTAGTAAGAGTTTTACGGCGCTTGAAACTGCTGAAGGTCATATGAGCGCGCGGCCTAAACATCATAATATAGACGTGGCTAAGGAAGAAAAATAACCTCCACCCTTAGATTTAGAATGTATGATGGTTTTCTTTTAGCACCCATCCACATTAGGAGGCAGGCTTGGAATCTGACTCTGAGGGCCAACCTGGGCAACTGGGATGGTTACAAACAACATCCTAGCAGAAAGACAGCAACACTCGATTAAAATTCTGCCCACACGGGAATTGAACTTGGGTCTGCTGCGTGCAACGGTGAAACACCTTACAGCTATATTTAAAAACAACGCTCGTCCATAGGCCGTGTGAAACGGGAGTGTGTAGTCATGATAATTACAGTCAAGCCTGTTCTAAAGACCGCCTGCCCAAAACTGCTCTAACGGGTCGCCTATCCAAGACAATCTCTTGTACAAGCGACCACTTCCCATCCTCATCCCCTGCGTTTTTCCTATTATTCTGACATTGTCCAAAACGGTCACCAGTACAAGACAACTACTTTTCTACTTGACAATGGGTGGCCGTCTTTGACCGTTTCGCCTCTAAGCTTAGTTGCAAGGTGTGCTGACAAAATGATTTACTTCTCACTGTTCGCGAACTGAGATGCATGTTTTGGCCGAAAGTCGACCCAGGGGTCAAGTGAATAGATTTTCAGTTGATGCCATTTTCTTCCAGTACTACGTGTCTTTTAAGGTTTTGTACATATATGTCGTGCTAACTCCACCAATAAATTTGATATACTTCTATTGCCAATCTAGCTCTCACTTGTAAAATTGAAGGCAATTGAGGCAAGGATAGAGCCAGTGCAACTTACTTGGAAAGCCTTAACTGATGGATGACGGAGAATAATCAAGAGAATGTAGACATTTTTTTAAAAATAGCAGCTAAGCAAAGGAATGAATGGAGAACCGTGATCGCTAATGGCTGTCGCAAATCTGGCACTTGATGAATCCATAGGGCTCATCATCCAGTGCCAGCTCTGTGACAGATATCGGCGATCATGGTTTTCCATTCATTCCTGTGCTCGGATGGTCTCGAAAAAGCTACGTTTCCCTGATCTTTCCCTGTTACCCATTTGTTTAGGTTCCTTAAGTATGTTTTTCTGAGCCTACCCCTGCCTCGCTTACCCTCCATTTTGCCAGTGAGAGCTAGATGTTCAAGACCATTATGTCTATTCAAATGTCCCAAAAACTGCATTTGTCGTTTCCTGATTGTTTTTAACATTAAGTGTCCCACGTGGGCTTCATCAAGACACTAGGGCTAAAGCCCGAAAAGTAACTCATTTTGTCAGTTTAACTCATAATAATAATTAGTCACGTGTAACCTGCGATGCGAGTGCAGCCTTGTCGTTTCCGTGCCCAAGTTGTGCAGGAGTAGAAGTGGCCCCGACCCGACTATCGGTGACCTGCAACCCCCC